TAATGGTGCACGCTTTTAATCCCAGCACTCAGGAGGCTGAACCAGGCAGATAGATCACAGTGAGTTCAAGGCCAGTTTGGTCTACACAGTGAGTTCCAAGACAGTCAGAACTCCATAGGGAAGAGACCCTTTCTCAAAACAACAGAAGTACTACAGGGCTCCATCTCCTCCCTTCAGAACAGCTATCATTAGAAAACAACAAATGCTGGCTGGAGAGGATACTTCAGGAAACAGACCCCTTCCCATACACTTCCTGTGGGAGTGTTTATTAGTCCAGCACTGTGGAAATCAGTAGGACGGCTCCTCAAAAACTAACATACAGCTAGCCTGCACTCAGCCAGACCACTCTTGGGTAATACCTGAAGGACTCAGATCGTCAACGCAGCACAAACACCTGCACGTGTTCATAACAGCCACATTATGGGGTCAGTCTAGGTGTCCACCAACAGCAAATGGATTAAGGAAATGGGACATATATACACAATGGAATTTTACCTAACCATAAATAACAAAATTATGTCACTTACGGGAAATGGATACAACATCATATTAAGGGAAGTGAGTCAGACTCAGAAAAACAATTATAATATTCCATCTGTAACTCCTAGGTTTTATACAGATACATAAAAATCATAAATGCATATAAGATGCGAAAGTAGAAGCAGAACTATGTGTGGGAACATTTGGAAATAATAAGAAAGAGCCAAAGTACATAATAAGTTTGTATAGAGATGTGTTTATGAATTCCATCCCTATGCACAATTTAAAAAAGTATTGAATTGTTTGTAAAAAATTTAAATTCAGTATAAACTTAATTAATTAAATTTGCTAGTAACTAAGTATCCTTGAGGAAATTGAGCTTGTTAGGTTATGCATCCCAAGTACTTAAAAAGAAAATCAAATATATTAAAATTATAAATGGAGTTAAATGTTTGAGGGAATGTAATTAAACTGTAAGTAGAGCTGAGTGTCTAGAGGAATTCAGTTTGTTCAACTTGAGTTCAAACATTAATCAAAAAGAAAGTTAAGGTTGTTTTCTTATTTCTCTAAATTTTTGTGTAGAACATTGAAGATTTTTTTCTCCCCACTGAGACAGTCTCACTTCATAGCCTAAGGCTGGCTTCTAACTTTCAAAATTTCTGATTTAGCCTCCCAGAGTGCTGGGATTACAGTTAAGCACCACTATGCGTGCCTCAATATATATATTTCTTCAAGACAGGGTTTCTCTGTATAGCTTTGGAGCCTGCCCTGGAACTCACTCTGTAAACCAGGTTGGCCTTGAACTCAACAGTTACATTATTTAGAAAAAAAATTTAATTTTTTTGCTGGGCAGTGGTGGCTCATGCCTTTAATTCCAGCACTCAGGAGGAGGAGGAGGCAGGAAGATATCTGCGAGTTAAAGGCCAGCCTGATCTACAGAATGAGTTCCAGGATAGAATCCAAAGGTACAGAGAGAAACCCTGTCTCAAAAAACAAAAGCAGCAAAAAATAGACTAAAAAACTGAAAAACATGTTTTATTTTCTTTATTTTTTAAAATTTTATTTTATGTGTATTGGTGTTTTGTGAGTGAGGGTGTCAGGTTGCCCGGAACTGACGTTACAAACAGCTGTGAATTGCCATATGGATCTTGGGAATTAAACCCAAGTCCTCTAGAAGAGCAGCCAGTGCTCTTAACCAATGAGCCATCTCTCCAGTCCCCTAAAAAATGAAAATAAAATTAAGGTTGGGCATAGTGGTGCACGCCTTCAATCCCAGAACTTGGGAGGCAGAGGCAGGTAGATCTCTGTGAGTTTGAAGTCAGCCTGGTCTACAGAGTGAGTTCCAGAACTGCTACACAAAAAAGCCTGTCTCCCTGCTCCCAAAATAATAATAATAGTAATAATAATAATAACAAGAAGAAGAAGAAGAAGAAGAAGAAGAAGAAGAAGAAGAAGAAGAAGAAGAAGAAGAAGAAGAAGAAGAAGAAGAAACCAGGTGTTGGTGACACATGCCTTTAATCCCAGCACTAGGGAGGCAGAGGCAGGCAGATCTCTGTGAGTTGGAGGCCAGCCTGGTCTACAGAGCGAGTCCAGGACAGCCTTCAAAACAATACAGAGAAACCCTGTCTCGAAAAACCAAAATAATAATAATAATAAAAATATGGAGGCTTGGATGATGGCTCAGTGGTTGAAAGCATTTGTTTCTCTTGCAGAGAACCTGCATTCAGTCTCCAGTATCCACATGGCAGGCCACAACTATCCATAATTCCCGTTCTAAGGGACCCAAAGCACAAGTGTGGTGCTCATACACACAAACATTCAGGCAAAACACTCACACACACAAGATAAAAATAATAAATGTATAAAAATAACGCTTTAAGTAAGGGTTAAATAAATAAAATAAAGCACACCTTTACCTCCCTGTAGTCACCCTACCCATCCCACATAAAATGACTCCCTGTCCTCTGAACTTGCAATCGACCAAATTTGTTTTAGGTCTCTTGCAGGTGATCAGTTGGACCTAAGTAGTCTTTCCCCGCAGGTTCACAACTTCCTGCCAGGAGTTACCAGGATGCTTTGCAAGCACAAATACCCAGAGCACATCCTCAATGTTGTCCACTTTCCCTTCTAGTCCCTAACAGCTTTACTGCTGCTCTTTACAGGTCATATGAAGTAGATACTCAGGCCTGATCAGGTCACATAGAGTCAGAAGAAGAGCTAGGCCTGGAGATCAGCCTTTGGTTTAACCTGATTCATTCATTCACTTAGAGAAAGAGTCTAATGTAGTCCAGGCTGGCCTCAAACACTATGTATCCAGGATAACTTTGAACTTCTGCTCCTCCTGCCGCCACCTCCCAAGAGTTGGGATTACAGTCATGTGCCAGTCAGTCTCAGAGAGGTCCTCTAAATCTCAGCATCAACCCCATTCACCCTAGATGTTTCCACTTGGGACAATTCACAGGAAACACAATTTACAGAGCTGGAGAGCATGTTAAGAGCAGGTGCTACTCTAACAGAGGACCCAAGTTTGGTAGCTGGCACCCACACAGGATAGCTCACACTCCACCTCTAACTCCAGCTCCTAGGGATGGGATACTCTCTCCTGTGGGCACTGCTATCCAGGAGCACATATCAACCACTTCGCCCAGTATGTGTATCTTACCATAATTTAAAAATCTTAAACACACAGACAATTTACAGGCCGGGCATAGTGGTGCTTGTCTATAATTTCAGTCTTCCAGAGACAGACAGGAGGATCACTAGTTCAGAGTCAGACTAGTCTATACATAGCTGGTTTCAGGCCAGTCAGATCGAGTGTGAAAACTTGTCTCAAAACAATCAAACAAAAAGCATTTAGTCTCTGAGGTCAAACTTTGATTTTCCCCCTAGATGTTAATTTTGTTTTTTGGTTTTTGTTTGTTTGGTTGGTTGGTTTTTCAGGACAGGGTTTGTCTGTGTAGCCCTGGCTGTCCTGGAATCCATAAACCAGGTTGGCCTTGAACTTTCCAGAGTGCTGGGACTAAAAGTCTGCACAATGGAGCTCAGTTTTTATTTTCTTTTATTTGAGACAGGGTTTCTCTGTATTAACAGCTCTGGCTGTCCTGGAACTTGCTCTGTAAACCAGGCTGGCCTCAAATCCACAGAGATCCGCCTGCCTCTACCACCCAAGTGCTGGGATTAAAGGCATGCGCTACTGTCCCGACTTGAGCTCAGCTTTTAGCTCCTCTTATTTTGCACTCGTCTGTCTGCTAGTTTGCTGGGTCTATCCTACCTCTCAAAATGCATCTCAAATCTGATGAGTATTCTAATTCACTCTACTCTAAATCACCTTCCCCTGTAATAACCCCTCTTTAGTCTATTTTCTATCAAGAAGCCAGAAAGATAACATTAAAATGTAAATAAGATCTTGACACATTTCAGTTTAAAACCCTTCAGTGACTCCCTAGTGCAATTAGGAAAAAAATAAAGGACTCCTTACCACGGGTTACAAGGCCAGACTAGAAATGACCTCAGGCCACCTATTCAGAGTCCACTCTACATTTTCTCAAGCTTGCAACTGCCTCTAACACTTTGCGCAAACATTGCCCTGTTTACCCTGCTACTACATATTCAGTCCTCCGTTAAGTGGCTGCCCAGGCTTAAAGAGCACCACCAACCTGTCCAAGCATTCAATTTTCTCCAGTACAAAGTCCCACTTCCAGAAGCGCTGGGCCTCTCCATTACCCACACACTAGCCCGAGCACTCCACGAAGAGCTGGGACGTTTCATCTCCTGGGGACCAGCGCAAGAGCGCGAGGGAATCCTCAGATAAGCAAGCATCTGTGGGGTGCCTTTTACAACCAGGTGGCCCGCCTTCGAGGACAGGGTTCTGGGCGGGCAGAAAGCAAAGGCAGAGCCACCTTTTTCTCTTGAGGCGTGGCTGGGAGCCGACGTTTGCCACCTCCAAACCTACACCCGGAGTACAGGTTCACGGAAGACAGAGAGGCGAGATGAAGCCGCGGGAGCCCAGCTCCCCTCGCCTCTCTACCCACTCCCTATGCCAGAAAATGCTGATAGCGCGGATTTGGAGCGAAGAGCTCGCTATTCTGGGTAGAAGTAGCCTAGAACTCGGACCAGGACGTCTATCCAAAGATACCTGGCTCCGTGGCTGGACGGCTCCGGGCTCCTCCTCTTGCGTTCTCGAGTCGCGCTCTGCTCGCTGGGATTCGTAGTCCTTCCTAGTTTATACGAGAAGACAGCCCGCTAAGGCGAGACAGCGCGGGGGAAGATGGGGACGCCAAAAGGCTTTTGGGAGTTGTAGTTCAAAAAAAAGTCAAACAGAAAGAAATAATTGAGGAGAAAAAAGGATAATAAATTTTGCCAAACTTTGGCTGTGTGAATATCAACATCGTAAGAATCTGATATCCTAAGTACACCATTGGTTTCTGTGCGATTCAAAAACGTCAACTCTGAGATACAGAGGAGGAACTACAATTCCCATAAAGCAGTGCGCATGGAAACTTTCGGTTGGAGCGAGAAGTCGGTCTCTACGCAGGCTCAGTGGTGCCAGGTCGGTAGCGAGGAAGCATGGCCCCCACGATTGCTTCGCGTCTGTACTCACTGCTGTTCCGCAGGACTTCCACCTTCGCCCTCACCATCGTAGTGGGCGCCCTTTTCTTCGAGCGCGCCTTCGATCAGGGCGCAGACGCGATCTACGAGCACATCAACGAGGGGGTGAGGGCCTGGGCCGTGCTGACCTTGGGCCCGCCTGAAGGGTGTCTGGGAGGGAGGAGGGAGGATGAAACTCAAGTCTTCCCTTACCAGGACCGGGTTCTGAGATCATTGCCTTGAGCCTGTACCTCCAGACTCACCTGGTAAATGATTGTGTGGGAATGTGTGGTAGGACACACCGATGCTCCCAACCCCTGCAATGTGAGATTTAGGACTCACGCCGATGAGCTGCCACGGTTCATAGTAGAGGATACCACTGGAAGATAGCATTCACTGCATGCCTTGGAGAACGTGGGAACATAAAGTAGGAAATGGCGAGTCCTTTTTGATTTAACCGTTCCAGGCTCTGTGCGTGTTTTATTCATGTCATGAGATTGTGGCTGTACTGGGTAAGGTCTGGCACAGAAGCCCAGGCTGTTCCTCCACTGGTTTTCTTTTTTGTTTGTTTTTCGAGACAATGTCTCTGTGTAGCACTGACTTTTCTCGAACGGGCTCTGTGGACCAGGCTGTCCTTGAACTCAGAGAGCCACCTGTGTCTGCCTCCCAAATGCTGGGATTAAAGGCGTGAGCCACCACCGCCCGGCTTCTCTACTGGTTGCCTTCTCTTCTTTTTTGGTTTGCTTGTTTTTAAATTTTATTGTTTCAGTTTTACAGGTGTATGTTTGCCTGCTTGTGTGTCTGTACACCGCATTTGTGTCTGTGGAACTCTCAGATTCAGAGATCCACCTGCCTTTGCTGTGTCAGTGCTGGACTCAAAGGGCCAGGCGACTGTACTTTTTTCTAATCAGGGTTTGACACTGATTTCTCAGGGTCTTTGCTTTGGACGACAAGCGTGGTTGTGTGAGGACGGAGGTTTTTTTTTTTTTTTTTTTTTTGGTTTTTTGAGACAGGGTTTCTCTGTATTGTTTTGGAGGCTGTCGGTCCAGCCTGGCCTCGAACTCACAGAGATCCACCTGCCTCTGCCTCCCGAGTGCTGGGATTAAAGGTGTGCGCCACCAACGCCCGGCAAGGACGGAGGTTTTAATTAGCTGTTGTTGTGTCTCCATGCAGAAGTTATGGAAACACATCAAGCACAACTATGAGAACAAGGAGTGACCCCGTGAATGACGGCCAGAAGGAGGACCTCCACCTGCCACCAGTTCGCCTGGAGCTGGGGCTCAGCCTGAGGATGCATCTGAAGTCACCCTTCATGGGCCACCTGTACAAGCAAGCTGTGGCCCCGCCCGACACGCAGCCTCTGGCTGCTGCTGTGTTTGAAGTGTGTGACTACCGCTATCAGCAAATAAATGAAAACTGCTCCTGAGACCCCGCTTCTGCACTCTGTTAACCCCTGGTCTTGGTGGTTTGCACCATGCCCAAGCCCCATGCAGACCCTGGGAGACTCCACCATTTGGAGTTTTCCATTAACTTCCAAAGAATTCTGGTTTCAACACATAAGCCTGATAGACATTACCTTTAAACCATTAGCTACAGTGAATGGGTGTTGTGGTGCCCAAGGAGGCATTGGATCTCTGCAACTGGAGTTACAAATGGCTGTGAGCTGCCTGGTGGGTGTTGAGAATTGAACCCAGTGCTCTCAATTGTTGAGCCATTTCTTCAGCCCTCTCCATCTTTAAATCACACAGTGATGTTCTCTTGGCCCTGGGGAAGCACTGTGGTCTTAGCTAGGAAAAAAAAGTTGCTCCAGGAGTCTTGCTCCAACCTCTGTCTCAAGCTTTTAACTCAATGAGTGGCTTTTGGTAATCTCCACATCTTTCGGGGTCACAGCTTCCTGCCAGGGTTCCTGTAAGGGTCAGTATATGAGAGTGTTAGTGAATTTAAATTTAAGCCCAACAGTTGATAGCTGTATGTACCAAGAGAACATTCAACCTTGCTGATTTTGTTTGTTCTGTTTTTTTGAGACAGGGTTTCTCTGTGGCTTTGGAGGCTGTCCTGGAACTAGCTCTTGTAGACCAGGCTGGTCTCGAACTCACAGAGATCCACCTGCCTCTGCCTCCCAAGTGCTGGGATTAAAGATGAGCGCCACCACTGTTGGCTGGGGATTGGGGTTTGAAACCAGCACCCATCTTGGGTGGGTCAGTCACAACTGCCTGGAATTCCAGCTACAAAGGGATCACACACTCTGCTTTGGTCCCCAAGGTCACCATTCATTCTCAGACACAGACGCACATGCACACACAAATCTTTTAAATCACAGATCCTGTCACAGGGAGGCAACTGCTGGTGCAAAGGCATGGATGCCAGAAAAAGGGCACAATGGCTCCATTGCCTTCAGGCGGTGGCAAGCAACAAGATGGTGTGAAGCACAGCACACTGACCTCAAATAGCCAATGAGCGGGCTGGGGGCGGGGCAGAAGAAGCATCCTCAGCATTCTGGAAGGCTGGAGCAGTAGGAAAGTAAGGAAGAGGTGGGGGGGCGGGGCAGCAGCAAATACTTGGGTGGCTCCTGCTTCATGGGCATGTGGTAGAAAATTGCATGTGGATCTTGAATGCCTAAGGGGAGACACTAGGTACCATGATGCCATTATGTAATGAGTCAAGAGCTCTGGGGAACAGTGCAAGGAGAGGAAACAGCCACAGGCGAGTTGCCGAGAGACCTGTGGGGGATAGAACTGAGCTTTGGGTTGGGCCTGGGAAACAGCTGAGGAAGCAGGCTGAAAGGCCCTGCATTTGTTGTTTGAGGAACGAGGAGGTGCAGGTAGCCGACCATGACTGAGGGGGACAAACTGAATCAGATCAACCTCAGAGTGTTACTGCTGCCCTTAGATGTGGGCACTCCTGAAAAACACTGGAAACAGGCCAACCTGCCTGGGACGGCAGCAGGAAGCACTGAAGAGCTGGCTTGTGTAGCTGGGGAAGTTCCCAGCTGGGGAAGGTAAAACACCCACCTGCAGTTAGCCAGAGAGATAGATAATCCAGAACCTTTCCCACCAGATGGTTCAGATCAGGGAAGACAGGTTTGTGGGTTTGTCTACTTGTTCTGTATCCTCAGCCAGGGCCTAGGAAATTATATTCTGTCAACTGCATTGTCAACACTTGAACTGAAGGTGGATTAGACTTTCAGGAATAATTTCTTCAAAGTGGAAGTTGAGACAGGAGGATTTCAAGATTGAGGCCACCCTGGAATTACAGGTGTTTGCCAATATACCTGGATATTTGTTCTTGGGAAACATGTTGTAATCCAGGCTAGCCTGCAACTCACAGTAGCAATCCTGTACTATCTCCTGAGTGCTCAGACTATAGGCTTGCATCACCATGCACAGTGGAAGTTTCTTGCCAACTGGGTGAAAAAAGATGAGTAACTCTGAAGCAGGCAAACCAAATAGCTTTGAAACCCGGTACTCCACTTGACTTAGGCTGTATGCATATACCCATTTCCAAATAAGGCTCCTAGCAACATGTTGCCATGCTGGAGCCCCTAACTTCACTAGAGTATACATATAATAACTTCCAGTTATTACACTGAAAATAAGTTACTCCCCTTAGTTACCCCCTTGATGATGCTCAGTTTCTGTCAAACATATACTGGAATACATTCTAAAACCAAGGGAAATGGGATGATCTGGCCTAACACTTTGGAGTACATGTACAAGAAGGAAAACTAACACATTAGACATTTCTCACATGGGGCACCAAAATGCTTGTGCACTGTATTCTGTAAGTGAATGTTTAGGGAGAATTCCCCATCTTATGACTATGCACAATTGGATGATTAAAACCAGACGCATAATAGAAAGCTGTTATGTAATCTATCAATCAAAACAGGGAACCACCCTCAACACACTCCTTAGCAACCAGACTCCTCCTCCTCCCTAGCCCACATAAGGAAGCCTCAGATTAACAATCTGGGCCCTTTAACACCCCTGTTCACATGGCTCTGTCACTCTGTAGCTCCTTGCTGTACTATGACCTTGATTTTGCATGAAGTCCCCTTGTTCCTATGCAATCTCAGTGAGCCTTTATTTCAATTTTTGAATAAGAGAATCTGGAGCCCCTGGGTAATAGCCATCACACACACACACACTCCCCACTGGAACATTGTTTGAATTAAAAGAAGGAAAAAGTAGACCCTTCAATGACTAGCTGTACTCATCATACTCTCATCATACTCTTCCTTTCATTTCCCCTCCTATGGTGCTAAGGCCTTGTGTCTGCTAATAAGGGTGAATGACACCCTTGGCCCTTAGGAGGTGGCTAACTGAAGAAGAAGATTCAAGGATGTGGGTGTAGCTCTGCCTTAGAATTCCTGTCTAGTGCCGGGTGGTGGTGGCGCACGCCTTTAATCCCAGCACTCGGGAGGCAGAGGCAGGCGGATCTCTGTGAGTTCGAGGCCAGGCTGGACCGACAGCCTCCAAAACAATACAGAGAAACCCTGTCTCGTAAAACCAAAAAAAAAAAAATCCTGTCTAGCATGTGCAAGGCCTTATGCCCCATTCTTAGCACTGAAAACAAGCAGAGTCATACTGGAGAAATCAGTGTAAACCTATGTAGACTTTAGAGCTATGTAGATGTTAAAAAGATCCCGTGTGTTCTCGTTAGTTTTTCTGTTGCCGTGTTAAAACATTCTTGGAGTCTGGAGAGATGGCTCAGCTGTTAGGAGGTCTGGCTGCTCTTCCAGAGGACCCTGGCTTGATTTTCACCACCCACACGGTGAGTCATAACTGTGTAACTCCGGTTCCAGAGGATCTGAGCCCTCTTCTGGGCTGACCAGAAGCAGCTGGGAGAGGAACGGGTCTATGTGACTTGTACTTCTGAATCACAATCCATCACTTCGAGGGCAGAGCAGGGGCTCAAACAGAGCACAGTTTACTGGCTAGCGGTCAGGCTCATGCTCAGCTCACTTTCTGTTTCTGGAAACAGTGTTTCTCTGTGTATCCCTGGCTGGCCTGGAGCTCGCTATGTAGACCAGGCTAGCCTTGAATTCACAGAAATCCACCTACCTCTGCCTCCTGGAGCTGGGATAAAAGGCGTGTGCCCCCGTAGCTGGCTCTGTTAACGTTCTTATACAGCCTGCACAGGGATGGTACTGCTCACTGTGGACAATTAAGGTAATTCCTCACAGACATGGCTGCAGACCAAGATGATCCAGACAGTTCTTCAATCCAGATTCCTTCTTCCCAGGTGACTGTAGGTTGTAGCATGTTGACAATAAAAAAGACTAACCAGTTGCTGGGTGGTGGTGGCCTATGCCTTTAATCCCAGCACTCGGGAGGCAGAGGCAGGCGGATCTCTGTGGGTTTGAGGCCAGCCTGATCTACAGAGAAGACTAGCCAGCACAAAGTATATGATGTTGAAGGAAGATTAAATGGGGGAGGGGGAATCAGGCTCTAGTAGTTCAGTTTGACTCCTGTGTGTGTAAAGCTATCGATTGATGCAAGCAGATATGGCACTGCGGGATACATGCTCGAGTGGTTAGCTCTCAGTACGGGGGAGGGGGAAGGGGGGGAGGGAGGGCTGAATAGGACTTTTGCTTTACGTCACAAATTTCTTTACCAAAACAGGACCACTACAAGGGGACAAAAGACAAACCCTTGCCAGGCATGATGGCACACACCTTTAATCCCAGCACTCAGGAGGCAGAGGCAGGCGGATCTCTGTGAGTTCCAGGCCAGCCTGATCTACAGAGTGAGTTCTAGGAAATCAGCGCTACACAGAGGAAACCCTGTATCAAAAAACAAGACAAAACAAAACAAAAACAACAAGACAACAACAAAAAACAAACAAAACCCCATGAGCTCTTTACCTCTTGCCTGTTCAAAGCATGCTTTCAACAGCTTTGTTCAATGCCAGGTGAGTCACAAAGCTGGATGGTCCCAGACCTGGAGCCCTTAGGAACACACCAAATAAAACCAGTAGGGTTTGAGATGGCTACACTTATGGCAAAGACAGGAGGAGCTGTTGCCAAAGAAAAGAATCAATAGAACTCCTGTAAGCTCCAGAAACCCAGATGTCAGGCAACCTGCCCTCTGCAAAACCACAATCATTTCTTCTTTGTTGACTTCAAAATCACTCATTTTTTAGAGGTCACCCAGTCAAACAGGACATGATCAGCTGCCTGGTGGCTTCCCTGCAGATCACACCTCTGATGTTTGTGCAATACAGTTACTTCCAACAAGTTTGCAGGCTGTCCTTGCTGCAATGCCTCCCTTCACTGGAGCCCACAGATGTCTAACAAGGGATAAAAGGCTTGGTGGCAACTTCACCTTCAGATGTCATTGTCCCCTTTGCTGTCTTGATCTCTGGGTCAGATTCTGCCAAGCATTGGATGGAGACATGCTTGGTGCATCAAAACACATCTGTGAT